CCATGAACAAGTCCCAAACGCAAACGCACCCTTCTTCACCGCTGAAACAAACGATCGCGGTTGCGTCAATCGCAGCTGGTATACAATTCGGATGGGCACTACAGCTTTCGCTTCTCACTCCTTACGTTCAGCTTCTAGGAATCCCTCATAAATGGGCTTCACTCATATGGCTTTGTGGGCCCATTTCTGGAATGTTAGTCCAGCCCTTTGTTGGTTACTATAGCGATCGCTGCGTTTCGCGTTTTGGTCGCCGTCGTCCTTTCATCGCCGCCGGAGCTGTACTCGTCGCAATCGCCGTCGTCCTCATAGGCTACGCAGCTGATATCGGCGTAATCCTCGGAGATCGCGTAGATTCGACTCCGAAATCAAGAGCAATCACTGTTTTCGCCATCGGATTCTGGATCCTCGATGTCGCTAACAACATGCTTCAAGGACCTTGTCGAGCTTTACTCGCTGATCTCTCCGGTAAAAGCGGGAAGAAGACGAGAACCGCGAACTCTTTCTTCTCCTTTTTCATGGCCGTCGGAAACGTTCTCGGATTCGCCGCCGGAGCTTTCACTCATCTGCACGACGCGTTTCCTTTCACGATGACGAAAGCTTGCGATGTCTATTGCGCGAACCTCAAGAGCTGTTTCTTCTTCTCGATCTTTCTTCTGATTACCTTAACCGTTCTCGCTCTCTGCTACGTCGAAGAGAAACAATGGTCGCCGGAGACGGAAGTAAAAGACGGAGAAGAAAACGAAATAACGGAGGAAGTAACGGCGCCGTCAAGAGTAGTTAAAGTTCCGTTAGTTGGGGAATTATTTGGTGCGGTAAAGGACATGGAAAGACCAATGGTTATGCTTTTAGTGGTGACGTGTCTTAATTGGATTGCTTGGTTTCCTTTCCTTCTTTTCGATACTGATTGGATGGGAAGAGAAGTATACGGTGGTGATTCGGGAGGAAACGACGGTGATCGGCGCGTGTATAATATCGGCGTACGCGCCGGTGCGTTGGGGCTGATGCTTAATTCCGTCGTGCTTGGATTCACGTCGCTTGGATTAGAGTGGTTGGCTCGTCGAGTCGGTGGTGTGAAACGGTTATGGGGAATCGTGAATTTTATTCTAGCGTTCTGTTTGGGAATGACGGTGGTGATTACGAAGTTGGCTGAATCTAGCCGCCGTGGCTCCGCCGTGTTAGAGACGGTTTCGCCGCCGGTTGGTGTTAAGATTGGTGCTTTGTCGCTCTTCGCTCTGCTCGGTGTACCTCTAGCTGTAAGTCAACTTTATCAAAAAAATTAATTTGTGTAACATTTGATAGAAAATGTTAATTTAAATTCAATCGCTATTTCTTTTCAGATAACTTACAGCATTCCATTCGCTTTGGCATCAATAATTTCTTCATCTTCTGGAGCTGGCCAAGGTAAGTTTGTATATTTTATATATGTGATTATAAATTCTTACATGCATGTACATTTGCATGCATGGTTTTAATTTTATACTCCATTTTGGTTCAGGACTCTCGTTGGGGGTTTTAAATCTTGCAATAGTTGTACCACAGGTTAGTTTATTTGTTAATTTTCTCTTATGGTTTTGGAATGGAGCTAATTAATCACTAAAGAAAAATATGGATGCATGCAATTAATGGTAAATGCAGATGGTGGTGTCGGTTGGAGCAGGACCGTTTGATGAGATGTTCGGAGGAGGGAACATTCCAGGGTTTGTGTTGGGGGCAGTGGCTGCGGCCGTGAGTGGAGTTTTAGCGCTCACCGTGCTGCCTTCTCCGCCGCCGGAAGCTGATATTCTCAAAGTTACTGCCGTGGGAGGACATTAATTAGTCCTTAATTAGGGTTTTTTTTTTCTTAGTCTCTGTTTTCTGTTTAGC